CCCCTGGTCCCTGCCCAGCACCCCCTTCCTCCCTTCTCAATACCCTGCTGGCAGCCCAAGGAAACTTGGACCAATGACCCCTGCCCCACGGCAGCGAGGTGGGACATCCTGGCCAAAGGTGGAGCTCAGGCTTCGGCCATCTGCCGACAAGTCTTCCACATGAATGGTGACAAAAACGCCAGATGTTGATTTATCTTTTCACAGTGCTTAGGTCATCTGAGCACTAAAATCCTTCCCTGGCGGTCACAAGGGCCTAAATTATTATCCCCATTAGACAGAAGCGAAAACGGAGCCAGTGAGGGGAAGTAATCTCCCAGAGCCCCCAGAACGCGAGGGTTGGTAGGGCTGGTAGGGCTGGCTCAGGTGTGTCATCTCTCCAGTCGAGTCCTGCCCTCCAGGATTGGGGACGGGGGTGGTGGGAGCTCTGTGCAACCAGACTTCACCTGTTTTGGCCTTAGAAAGCAGAGCCCTGGTCCTGGCTGACTCAGGCCCCACCTTAGGGAGAGGCAGGGATGGTGGTGGGCCGCTTCTGGGACATGGGGGATGCTGTGGCAAGCCCCAGCCTGGGGAAAGAGGGACCAGAGGTTCTGGGGCCAAATGGGGCCGGCCACACGCTATGGCCATGCCCCTAATCCCCCAAACCCACTTGAAGAACGAGACAGCAAGCTCCACACTAGGAGCGAGAGGGAGTGAGTGCAGGGGACTGATTCACTGCCACACTCTCATCAGGGCAGCAGATGACAGAAGCGCTGTCTTCCTATCTTTCCAGGAGCATCTGCACAAAGAAGAGGCTGGGTCATGAGGCCAGGACTGCTTCGGGAATTACATCACAGGAGCCAAAGTTCGTTTAGGGCAGTTTCCCTCTGCGGCTGGGGGGCCCGGGGAGCAAAGGGTTCTGGGGAGATGGGGCAACAAAAGCCTGGAACTCTGTCCCAAGAAGAAAGCATGACCACGGGCAGGGGCCAGTGAGGAGCCGGAAGGCCTGGCCAGAGAGGTGCCAGGCAACCCCAGAGCCTGTGGCTGGGAGAGCAGGGTGGGGTGCCTCCCACAAATGCAGGGGGCAGGGAGGCAGCGTGCCTGTCCACTCACAGCCGAGGCCCTCGGGCGGTGTCCTGCAGGGAGACAGGCTGCATCAACGCATCCGCACTCCTGGCTCTGCCAAGGGGTGGCGGGAAGAATGGTCGGTCTGTGACCAGGGCTAGTGACCCTCCCACCATTAAAGTGAGGTGACCACACAGTCTTCTTGGGAGGGCTCTCGGTGACTTGACCATTCCATTAGTCGCTCCTGGCTTCCTTGCCTTGCCCAGGCATCCCTGTTCCCTCGGAGATGCAGAGAGCCTCCTGGGAGGTGGCAGGTCAGAGACAGGCTCAGAGAGAGAAAGGGTGCAGACTGCCTCGGATTCCTCTCCACCAAGCCCATGGAGCCTTCTCTGAGGAACAGTGTCACCTGGGGGCCAACTCCTCTGCTGATCTTGGGAAGATCTGCCTCCTTTCTCCTGCTTCCTCAGGTCAGGCAAGGAAAGTTCAGGTTTCCCCTTCTTAATGAGATGCTTTTGCCCGTAAAGTCAGGGCTGAACACCCAGGCTGAGTGAGTAGGCTTTCTGGCTACCTGGAAGGGAGGCCAAGAAAGAGCTGGTAAAGACTGTTGGGACCTGCTGCTGCTGGACCTGCTCCTGAGATTTTGCTGGGAATTTCCATCTGCAGAGAGCATGGCTTTTTCTTTCTGCCTCTGGCAGCCTCCTGAAGTGAGCTGGCCATCCATGAGCCCCACGGAGGAGGCAGCCCACAGGGCCAGGGCCCGATGGCGCAGACTCCTCTGGGGCCCTGGTGGAGCACGGCTAAGCCGCTGTCTCCGTCCCGCCTGCTGGGTGGGAAAGCCTGAGCTGAGCCCAGGATGGAGCCCGAACCATGGAAACACCTCCCATCCCCGCCAGGGCAGGGGTGGCAGCAGGATGGGGAGAGTGGAGAACCCGCTTCTGGGCCAAAGTTCATTTTCTTAGAAATGCCTGAACCCTGCCTCCTAAAAGCAGTAGCCTAACACTCCCGGAGGCCTTCTCTGGCCTGTCCCCACATCTCCTGTCCCATGCGCGTGGCCTCAGGGAGAGGCCGTGAGGCCAGCCTCCCGGTGTTTGATGATCCTGCCCTCAGGACTGTAAGGCTGAAGCCGGCACCCACACAGCTCACTGAGGGATCCAGAGCTCTTCCAGCCCAGGCTGTGGGTGGCTGTGCCCTCAGGGGAGGGGCGCCTCTCCTCTCGTTGCACCGATCAGAGGCTGATGTCCTCATAGAACCATGGTGGTGTGGCAAGGCCAGGATGTCCTCCTTGGGAACCTGCCTTGGCAACGACTGCACTGGGTGGGGGAGGCGGATACCAGTTCCCCTCCATGTTCCTTTCTCTGGATAATTCTCTGAGGATGCACCAACCTCCAGAGTTCACAAAGGCTCAGACAACGGATGTGTCTCTCCCATTCTCTACTATTTTTACAATGAAACCCTTACATAAAGGCCAAGTTGACTTCCACTGCCAGATAGTAGCTCCCCTCATGTGGTACCATGGTGAAAAAGATCCCAAGGTCACACCTGTGCTCAGTGAGAAAAAAGTGCTGTGATTGATTAGCAATGTCTGTCCCAGGTGAGGGACTGGAGAGTAGGGGTGTACATGCTGTTTTGCCTTCTCTGACATTGCACGGCAGACCTCTGGAAGCACTTTCACATGCATCACCTCCTGTGATTAGCCCTGGTCTAGGAATGATAAAGATTATTATTCATCTGCCGAAGGAGGCATCAGGAACGTGGAAGTTACGTGTGTCTTCTCCTAAATCACCCTAGTGAATGAGAGCCAGAGCCAGGATGAGATCCCAGATGTCCTGAGCCTGAAGCCGGCCTAGCGATGACTACTTACATCAGGGAATGCTGGAGATCAACGTGCCAAAGTGTTCCCGTGTCTTTGGGGAAAGAGTGCTTCGTGAATCTTCTCCAGGCCTGAAATCTGCCGTTCTTCATGCATATGTGTAGGCTGCTGGCAGAACAGAGCCTGTGGAAAGCGAACGGGCTGCCCACGCCACAGCCAACTGCCCCTCTGCTTGCCTGTAACTTTAACAGTGGGCAGGCCTGGCTCTGACTCGCTCTCGTTTCATCACCTCAGCCGGGCACCCCGGGAAGTGAAAAGAGGCCATTTCAGAAACATCTGGAGAGAGCCACTCTGGGCTGCTATTCGGTTACCATGGAAAAACCTGCCTTTGGAACTGGCTTCAGGAAAATAGCTACCAACAATAATGAGCATAAATGAAAAATGGTACACTGTTACTGGACTTCATTGGGTTTTAGGGACTGAGACGGCGGGCTCCGATCCGCGAGCGCAGGGGAAGGCAGACATTGCTGCCCGGCCGTAGGCCTAACGACACAGCCCACATCCTCCCTCCCACCACCCTCATCAGGTTTCTGGATGTGACCTCCAGGGAGGCATTTATCACAGGAGCTAATGTCTGAATTGCGGGAGGAAGGAGGATGTGCTTGCAAAAAAACAAACATTTGCTGAGCAGACTGCAAGGCAACACACAGCCATGTGGAGGGGAACGTGGGCCAGGGTGTGACGTCACCGCGTGGGCTGTCTTCAGCTGATGCGGAACATTCACATGGGCCCGAGGTAGAAATCCTTTAAGAAATCAGGCAGCAGGAACAGTAGCTGAGCGGGGAGGCTCTAATCTGTTTTCAGGGGCTCTTGGGGTTGGGAAGGACCTTATGAAGATGACCTGGCCCAGCTCCTCCCCCAAGTGGGGTTTCCATTCTCTTGGCTCTGTCCTCACCAGACAACTCCCGAGTTTGCACTCGTCCTATTCTGAGGGCTGTAATGTTCCTGACACTGAGCGGAAATGGAACTCCCTGTGGCCCCTCCTCGGGAAGGAATCAGACCCCTTTTGGCAATGATAACCCTGTAGCCATTTGGAATCATTCTGCCCCCTCAGTGCTCTGCATGTGGCCGATGTCGGTGACGTCCTCATGGGTGCTCCCCTCAGGGAGCGCTCATGGCGGGGGGCGGGGGCGTCTGAGGTGGGACCTGCACCCCGACAGGGGAAGACCGTGGCGCTAATGGGGTGCTCCTAAATTATACTTCAAAAATCACTGTGTCGACGTGGGCCTGTACCTTTTCAGAGCATTATGTTTATCCTGATAAGCTGCTCTCTGAAAGTAGCAAAGGGAGAAATAAATAGATAAAAGTAGCTAAGGAAGGAAGAGAAAAACGGTTATCTCGCCAGTCTACTATACCAGCTGTCAGAGCAGGTATTCAGTAATGGTTCCTGCACCAGAGAATCCCCATTGCACAGATAAGTCAAACCGAGGTTCAGAGAAGGGGGCCGACTTGCTCACAATCACCAAGAAAGAGAATGGCAAGGCCAAGCCAAGAACACCAGCATCCCGCTCCCAGCCTCCAGACCTTCCCACAGAAAGTCACCGAGCTCTGGGCACCCAAGTCCTGAGTGCCACATCCCAGGACTGGGGCTGCTGGGTCCTCTTACCCACCCCCTGAACCATGGAAACACCTCCCATTTTCCATGTGTGCTCAAGTCAGGCCTGACATGACGGCCCAGCCCATGACATCTCCTGAATGCCACCAAAGAGGCACGGAGCTCCTCCAAAGTGGGAGAGGTAGCCCAGTGATCACGGAGGGCCCGGGGAATCCCAGAAAGCAGAGCATTTTGTGTAGAGCGTCCAGGGCAAGGATCCGATGAGGAACCCCTTTGGGGTTCCACTGCTTTACAGAAGCTTAGAGCAAAAGGGAAGTCACAAAGAATATCAACCCGTCCTAGATTTTTTCATCAGCTCAGGCAGGCTCTGATTGAAGGGGAATGGCCTGCCTCGACAAGCCAGTTGTCTTTCCCAGCAGAGCAGGGAGGAGGCTACCTCCCCCCGCCCCCCCAGACACCAGGGCATACGCAGTGGAGGGGGTGGGAGGGGAGGAGGGCCCCGAGGCCTTTTTCGGGGGCCAGGGGCTGACTCACCAGGCTGTGCATGATGCGCACGCCGTCGGGGTTCACCGTGAGCGCCTCCTTGTACAGCTGCTCGGCCTCCTCCGAACTGCCCTTCATCTCGGCTAGCCGGCCCCGCATGTGGAGTACCGAGTGCGAGGTGGGGAAGAGACCCGCCGCCTCCTGGATGCAGAAACCTGCTTCCTTGAGGTGTCGCTGCTCCATGAACAGCTCAGCTGCGAAACCAGAAGGACAGTGGGAGGTGATAGTGGTAGGAAAAGTCAGAGGCAGAGGCCCCCTCCCTGCATCCGACCATCGGCTCCCAGAGTTGGAGGGTCTCAGATGATGGGAACCATCCCTGGAGTCATGGCATGGGCCCCGCTGGCTCCGGGCTGTGGGGGCAACAGTGGGTAACGGTTTCTGAGCGCCCGCTCTGTGTCAGGCACCGTGCTACCCGCTCCGCACAGACCGTGTCCGCTGACATTCCCGAGAGCCAGCACACCAAGCACTTTTATTACCCCGCTTCAGGGAGGGTGTCAGTGGGCACAGAGACGGTAGGTAAGTTGCCTAAGGCCACAGGGAGACTCAGCTGTAGGCCCGGGGTTGGCATCGGGGTGACTTCCGAGCCCGGCAGTGGGGGCACAGGTGGTATCTGTAAAGGTCAGGTGGCTTTCTGCAGTGTCCCTCCACCTGACGACCGCGAGGCTGGGAGTGGGGGATGGAGGCTGATCAGGATGAGGCAGGTGTGTGCTTCCAAACAGCCTACACTCCTGGAGATGGACAGTGCGCCAAGGCCTGCTTCTGCCAAGTGTCTTCTCTCATTTACTCCTCCCAGCAGGTGCTCTCAGGGCTCTGCACTAACAAACCAAGCTGGGGGGAGGGGGGAACCTCACTCCAGTCCCTCCATAGAAAGAGGCAAGGCAGCGCTGGACTGCCAGCGCAGCTCCAGCCTCCCTCTGAGGCCCAGGGCTTTCTGCCACACCGAGAGAATGAGGGATGCCCATGCCTCTCACCAACAAGCTGGGAAGACCTGTCCCACAACCAGTTTGCCTTCTTCCCCCAGATCAGTGGAAAATGGGGCCATCTCTGATCCCAGGCCAGCCCACATAAGGGCACATCTCAGATCCACACTGCACAGGTACACGCCCACAGCAGGCACTTTTTAGAAACAGGCTGGCTGGGCTGGCAGCTCGGCCTCATGGCCCACTCAGCCTTCCTCTGGTGGCAGCCTTGGGGCTCGGCTGCCCCTCCCAGGGCTGGTGCCCGTGCACAGATGGGAGCACAGAAGGGCACGCAGAGCCTGGCTTGTGATTCTGCCAAGAGCTGTTCCTAGCAATGGCCAAGGGCTGAGGTCACACTAATTCAGGTTAGGTCTAGGGCGGGGTGGGTAACAGACATCCCAAAAGAAGCTCCCAGAAAGAGGTGGAAAAGCCGGACCCAGGCACCACGTCTTCCTGTTCCGACAAGCAGCAGGAAGGAAGCCTAAGGCCTTGACTACAGCACACGGCACTTGGGGCAGTCAGCATGAATGTTGCCTAAGGTTCATTGTGTAATCAAGTAGCTTGCCACATCCTATACTACAGAGGCCTTTTTGCGCAAGGGAACTCTTTTTCTCTAGTGGAGATGAGAATTTGGAAGAATTAAGTAAACACAGAGGAGTCAGGCCCCCATGATCAGGCCAGAGAGAAATGCAGGCTCTCGTCCCGGTAGACAGCCTGAGCGGCACAGTCCCAAGGCAGAAAGCACGGGAAGGTGAGGCCAGGAAGGGTGGGCTTCGAGCCAGGGCCTTGCAGGGAGGGCTGGCCCGTGCTCAGGGGTTTGTCTAGCTCGGCCTAGGCTCTCCTCTGCTCTGCTGTTGTGTTTCCTTCTGGAGATGCTGCTTGGGGCTCCTGAGCAGGCTGCCTTGATAAAGGAGGATCCAGTGTGCAACTATTAAGTACTGACCATGTGCCTGGCCCTCCCAGGAGGAAGAGTGGAGGTGGGGAGAGGTGGGACAGCTGAGCAACCAAACTGGAGTGAGCCAAGGCAATGGAGTGACAGGTGCCAATTCTGAAAGCTCCGGGCATTCCGAAGGGGTCAGGTCAGCTGTGCTGGTGTGGTCAGGGAAGTCTTCCTGGAGGAGGCAACATTTGAGCTGGGGCCTGAAGGTGCAGGGGCCGCTGGACTGACAGAGAGAAGGGAGGCTGTGCCAACCCAGAGGGCTGGGCTCCACCGTGACCGAACTCCCCGGGGTCACCGGAGGCGAGGGGAGCAGCAGAAGGAAGTGTGTGGTGTGAGTGTTGGGGTAGGGAGCCCGCTTCGTCTACCACCAGGAGCTCAGCTCAGAGGCTAGGCCCTCCACTCCCCTGGCCCTTGCCCAGCAGGTCTGCCCCAGCTCTGGCCCACCTGCCGGCCTGGTCCTGCCATGGCTCATTAAGCTGTTTACAACTTGCTGGCCTGTCTTCTGAGTCTCTGTCTCTGGAGGCTGTTTCTGGTCTCTCCCTTGGGGACCCCTCACAGTGCCTTCATATCAACAGATTTCAATTACAGGGATCCCCACCTCCCTCTTTCCTCGGGGCCCTGGGCCTTGTTGGTCTGGCCACACACCAGAGAACATGCCCGGAAAAATAGGTAGGGCTGCTTTGGTCTGATGGACTTCATTACCAGTTAGGCAGGAAACCAGATGACACAGAACAGAGCCAGAGAAGTGAGGTCTCTTGAGGGCTCCTGGCCGCCTTGCACAGTCCCGGGCATGCTCAGCCTCCAGGGCGGGGCCTCTGACCTGCAGCTGGGCCCACAGGTCTGGGGGCTGCAGTTGCAACCCCTTCTTCCTAGCCTCACCATCCCTGGGCAATTGTTTTACCAAACATGGTGCTCCCCAGCCAGCCAGCCACGGCTACAGCAGGAGCCCTGCATGTGGCACCGTGCCTGTCCACTACCCCAGCTTCTAGACCTCCCCGTCTTCCCTGCTGGGGCCCCCAGGTACCCACCCATCCCGGCCTCCTCTCTGGCCAGGGCTGGAGGCCTGCTCCCTGTTACTGGACTTTGCTCGAATTCTCACAGCCCGGGCCACGACCCCGGCAAACAGACCTTGCTGTCCCCAGTGTCGAGGGCCCCTCTCCCATCCCCTCAGCGCCTTCTCTCTTCCTCCACCCCGATTTTCCCACTTCTCTCGTCTTCCTGTCTGCCTACCCGTGACCTCCCCTCCTGCCTCTGTGTCTCAGCTTTTCTCCCTCTTCCGTCCATCTCTCTCCACCCGCCCCCCTCTGCGCTTCTCTCCGCAAGCTCCAAATGGAAAACATCTGTTCCCTGGAGCTTTGCAACAGTCCCTTTTATTATTTTTTTCTGAGGCATCCTGATCTAACCCTGCACCTAGAGCCGGTTCCAGTCTTTCTGCCAGAGCCAAGCCCCACCCCACCCCCAGGTTGGGGGATGAACTCACTCTTCCTGGGCTATTTGCACACCCTCTGGGCAGGGAGGGCCTGGCCCCCCGGGGTGGGGGGGGGCTCCTCCTGAGCTGAGGGGCAGGATGAGGGAGGGCCCAGGGGCAGGTCTACCATCTTTCGGGGGCCTCCCCACGTGAGAGGTGCTTCCTAGAGACCCTCCGTGAGACCTCAGAAAGGAGGGGCACCCAGGCTAAAGGCAGAGCCACCTCAGGGAGAAGCTCAGGAAAGAAGTTAAGGTTAGGCCCTTAGCTAGCCTTGAACCCCAGAGGGTATCACCAAAACTGCCCCCTAAAGGACACAAGCGTCCTCCCCATGGAGCAGACCGTCAGGGCATACGGACACCCAGAATAAAGGAGAAGGAAGAGAGGCAGACAAGGAAGGAGTGAGAGAGGCAGCCAGGGAACCGAGAGAGTAACAGAGAATCAGAAGGTCTAAAGGCATTCTGCAGGGGGTCTGAGACCCCCCCACCCCAGGGACCCAGAGAGGGGCCCGATTTTCCCCAGGCCGCAGGGGAGTCCAGGCTGCAGGGCCCGGGCTCGCGACTTCCTGTCCCCGAGCGCTCTCCTCAGTGACTTGGCAGCTGGGCGGAGGGGGTGCCGGCAGAGGAGGGAAGAAGAAAAAGCCAGAGCAAGGGAAGAGGGGACGTGGGAAGAAGGCACAGAAGGCAGGAGGGAGAAGGGTGGGGAGTTAGGACGGAGGGGAGCGTGAGGGAGGATCACAAAAGGGATGAGAGGGGAGGGGACGGAGCACAAAAGGAGCGCGCGGGACTGCGGGGAAGGCCAAGCTTCTCCCTTGACGGTAGTCTTTTATTTTTTTTTCTTTTGGAGGGAGAGAGAGAGAGAGAGAGAGAGAGGGAGAAGGGGTGGGGGAAGGGCAGAGGGAGACGGAGAGAGAGAATCTCAAGCAGGCTCCACGCCCAGGCTGAGCTGACACGGGGCTCAGTCTCACAACCCTGAGGATCAGGACCTGAGCCGAAATCAGGAGTCGGACACTTTAATGTCTGACTAAGCCACACAGGCGCCCCTCCCTTGACTGTAATTTTATAATGAAGATGATCTTTAGACACAGCCCTGGCCACCCCATCCCAGTTCCCCTGTTTGCCCAGCTCACAGCCGGGGCAGCTTTTACCTACCTGTGCCCAGGGCCTCCTGAGGACTGTCCCCACAGGGGGTCCCCATTCTGAGATGCCTTGGGCAAAGGCGCCTATCTTACAGGCTCTCCGGGCACAGATTCAGCCTGGACCAGGGGGTGTACTGGCTCTTGCTTGATGCATCTGTTTAGCAGTTGGAGCTCTGTGCCCCGTGCCTAGATACTGTGAATCTGCCATTTGGGAGCTGAGGCTCAGGCCAGCTTGCCCTGACTGAGTGAAAGCCCATGGCCGCCTAGGAGTCCCCTGGCCCTCCAGGGAGGGGAACCCTTCCCTACATCCATCTCCCTCCCCCCAGCACACTGTTAGCTCCCAGAGACATGAGCTGCAGTGAGAGAGGGAGGTGGGCCATCTTGCTCTTCCGAAAGGCACCTCTCAACACGCAGGATGTGGGGGCATCTGCGGGGCCTCGTGCCTCTCCCGCTGTCACACAGACCCGCTGTCAAAGAGGCAACATTCCCGGAACGCATCTCTCAAGGGGAAGCCCCCCTGTGATGCCTGTCACATCTGACTGGAATGCGCAGAGGCCTGGAGAGGACAGGGAGGAGAAGAGTTGGGAGAGGAAGGGTACCATTTCCCAAACCAAGGGGGGTCACTGATGGAGCCCCAACAGCCTGGGGTGTAATTTATCCCGAACATAAGCTGGGAGACCAGCTCCTTCCAAAATGAAAAAGGAGGATGTTCTTCCTTCCTACACATTTGCTGCAGCTGCTGGAATCATTAGGCGGCGTGGATGGGGGTGGGGATGCTGGTGACGATACTCTGAGCCTGGGTCAGATCGGGGGTGAGGTTAGGGAGAAATTTTTGCCTCAGTGATTTGGTCCTGGCAGCCCTTCATTCGGTAAGTGCTCGGCACATGCCTGCTGCTGATGCTGACGGCTGAGGGTGTGCAGACTGCTCCGGAACCCTCCCATGCTCGGAAGGGACAACCTGGGACACTTTCTTACTTCCCTTTCTGGCTGTGGTGGCTGGCCCTCAGTCTCTTCTCCCTTTCTCCGATAATGACAGAGCCCCTGATTTTTCATGAGGCATACGGACAACCCGGACAGTGACATTTCCCAGAGTCCTTTGCAGCCAGGTGTGGTCATGTGACTAAGTTCTGGCCAATGGATCATGATGGGGACTGATGTATGCAAATTTCAAAATATGTCCTTACAGAGAGGGGGTGTCCCCTTCTCCCACTCTCCCTGGTTATGCCTTGGAAGGTGAACGTGATGAGGAGCCATGATGGGTCACAGGGGTGAGAGTGACACTCCATGGAGAACAGAAGCAACAAAATGGAAAGAACCTGGGTTCCTGGACCAGGGGAGCAGAGCTGTCATCCCAGTCAAGGGCGCCATCTCTGAACTGTTTCAAAAGGACAACAAAGTGTCTACCTTGCAGAAGTCACTGCCATTTTGGATCAGTCACATACACCCAAACCTGTCTCCTAATGCCACACCGCCCAACCCTCACCGGGCACCGCATTCAAAGCATTCAGATTTTGTTCTCAGAGTTCTCTGGGGGCTGAATATCTAGGATAATGTCCGGAGAACAAAGGCTAATGTGCAAATTACTGAAGGGCATGTTTATACTGATAATTCCCAAGCCTGATTACAAGCTTCATGAAGGCCATGCGTTAACCATCCCTGGAGTTACCAGAACATACTAGCACCCTGAGCATAAAGCTGCATACCTGAGCAATGGAAAGCAGGCTTGTGAAATGCAAGCACGTGTTCATTTGCTGATGGTAGTAGACAACATGCATCAGTAAAATTAAGGCCTTGCTAGCTCCAGAGTAGGCAACGCACAACTCCAGGATCTGATCACCGCGTTACTGATACACATGGTGAAGGCCCAATGTGGGTACAGCCTTCTATCCCAGGCACATGGAGGGGGCTGGGGCTCCAGTGTGCACCTTGGGAGCCATGCTGGTTCCATGTGTTAGAAGAATGGGGCTCTTTGCCTAAGGGGAGGCCTTGTTTTGTATCCCTCCGGCGTTTCAACATTCCTCTCGCTACTTAGGATGTAACAAGCTGGCTGGGGAGCAGGGCCCTCACACATCCCTAGCCTCCTGAGGGACGCTGATATGCTAACTGGGACAATGTTTGCATTATTAAAATGCTTCCCTGTTTAGCCTGTGCATCCTGATCCAATTTCTGCCCCCAGATTCAGAAGCTCTGGTGGTGGGGGGGGTGGGGGTGGGGAGTACTGCGTGCTAATGGGGCCATATGTGAAATCCAGGCAGCGGGAAGCCTCAGATCCTCAGTGAACCACTTTCAGCCTCTGACTTGCAGTGTCCGCTCGGCTCAGGAACTTTCTACCTGCAGTCTCTTCTGTGTCTCCCCTGGGGGGCTGTAGGCGCCAGCCCCTGGGGAGAGATGGGCACCCATCAGGGTAACAAGAAAACAGGGGAGGAGTTTCACTGAGCACCTGCTATGTGCCCCACACGGCACTGACCGCTTTACTGACGATCAGGACGGGCCGTAGGGGGCTGGCATTAGAACCCAGCCCTGTGTGATCCTGAAGCTGCCTGCATCCCCAGCAGTAACTGGCCCTCACATTCCACGGTGCTAACGGTGCCAGCTACCTATCAAGAGGGACTGTCGCCTGAACAGCCCCCTCAGTGTTACCAGCCCTCCGCCATCGCTGAACTACACCACCAGACCTCCCCTCTTCTCTAGCCATTCTGTGAGCTCTCTGGGGCTTGAGCTAGTTTTACTAACTAGTTTTACTCAGGAGAGGCTGGGCAAGAAGGACGGACAGGGCCTGTCTTTGAGACTAAGAAGGCTATCCATCTGTGTGGTCTTTCCTCAAATCTGCTTACATTTGTATTTGCTGCCAGAGAGCCTCCCTACAGGTAGGTAGGCAGGCAGGCCCTGTCGCCCTGTCCCCATGCGGTGGAGAAGGAAACCCACAGCCAGACAGATGAAGCGACTCTTCTTGGGCCAAGCAAAGAAGAAAGAGGTGGAACGAGAGCTCCAGGTTCCTGATCCCCAGGCCTTTCCGTGAGTACTGCAGTCTGTGTAGGCCTTGTCAGGGGTCTTCATAGCCCCACACACCCTCCTCCAGGGCAGGTCACGGCTCTGAGAGCCCTGCAGGCAGGTGGCTGTCACTGGGGCCGGGAAAACTCACCAGCCTGGAGCCAGATCTGTTCCAGCGTGGTCCACAGCTGCATGGGACCCTGCTTCAGGATGGAGCTGGGCACAGTCAGCTCTGACATGGCCTCCTCTAGCCGGGAGGCTGCGATGGATGATGCCCGCCGAGAGCCTGCAGAGCAAGAGGGGAGGCGGCTGAGCAGTCGCAAACCAGCTCGTGGACGCACTGGGAAGGGCCCTCCTTTGTACCCTCAGCCATGGCTGGGATGAGGAGCTTCGGAGGGGCAACCAGGCAGCAAGCCCACTCCTAGGAGTCTGTCACTGAAGAAGACAGTCCTAAATGTTGGCAAAGGTGCCTGGAGTACTGAAAACAGAAATGACCCGAATGTCCAACAACGGGGAGTGATTCAAAATACGTGCGGGTATCATCATCCAAGACCCCGCGGCCATCACACTAATGGCGCAGAAATACGGAGATGGACGCAGAAGGATGCTCACGGCACACAGGTGAAAAAAAAAAAAAGCAAGCTGGGCACCTGGGTGGCTCAGTTGGTTAAGCGACTGCCTTCGGCTCGGGTCGTGATCCTGGAGTCCCGGGATCGAGTCCCGCATCGGGCTCCCTGCTCAGCGAGGAGCCTGCTTCTCCCTCTGACCCTCTTCCCTCTCGTGCTCTCTATCTCTCATTCTCTCTCTCTCAAATAAATAAATAAAATCTTAAAAAAAAAAAAAAGCAAGCTGGAAAATGGTACGATCACATTTTTCTAAGAAAGAAATAGGGGCCTGGGAAAAAGGTCTGAAAGGCCATTATTAAGGTCTGGGTGGTGAGACTGGAGGATTTTTCTCTTCTCCCTTCTCTTTGCTTTGTTTTCACAGGTGCATATTATTGTTTCTTCCATAGGAAGTTCCCTTTTGAGGCTGCGCTGTGCTAAATCCTTGGGTAGCAGCGGCTCGGGCCGGACCCTGTGTGCTGTGGAGAACCTCCCCCGTGGCAGTTCTGGGTGACTCGGGTCCCTGCTCAGGATATATAAGCCATGGACATTTACGCTTCACGTGCAGGTGAAACGTAAGCACTTTTTTCCTCTCTCTCTCTCAGGGGCAATAAAGGCTCCAATCAACTCAGGAGACCTTGGGGCACACCACGGATGGTTTCGGTTTCTGAGCCGAGTGCATGTGGAGCCCTACTCATTTGTTCATGGTTTGTCCTCCCTTCTCTGCGAGGGCACCATGCCCTCCTTCACCGTTCCCTCTTTGGAGTCAGAGCTCCACAGTTAGCCCAGTGCCCCTCGGATGTGCCTGGAAGTCAGGTGCGGGGCTAGTCATGGGCAATCAGCTCCATCAGGGACGACAAAGGTGCAACCTGGCTCATGTCCACAGAAGTGGACAGAATAAGCAATGCCACCAAATACAACTCCCTCACACTCCGTTCCTGTGACTAGTTCTTCTTTCTGTGCCTTTGCTATTCTGCTTTCATCACTCCTCATTTGAAAGAGTCCACTCTGGGCTTAGAGTTGTAAACTGACGCTCAGCTCATTCCTTTCTAATTGACTCTGTCTACTAAGGACACTTCAGTGGTAGACCCTTAGCCTAAAGGGAGACAGTTTCTGGGCTCTACAGCTGTCCCTCCGCCCTGGCTCTCCTCTCTGCACCGCCCCCCCTTGCCTGCTTCAGCTGCTCACTTCCCACCCCAGAGCCAGGATGGGTGGGAAGTTGCCAGAAAGGTGCCCAACGGCAGCTCCTTAGCTCCTCAGCACTAGGCTCTGGGGCTGCCCCTGGCTGGGAGCAGGGTGGGTTTGGCCAGGCCAGGCAGATGCCACTCTCCTCGTTCATGCTCAGGCCGGGACAGTGGACCCACATGGACAGCTGCCCACGGGCACATTCTTACCAGAGTCTGCGTCATGGGCATCAGGCAGAGTCAGGTGCATGCCGCTCTGCTTCTTCAGGGTGACGCCCTCGCCGAGGCTCCCATCCTTTTCCAGGCCTCTGAAAGGCAAGGGAAGGCCAGGCCCCGATGAGGTGGAGGGCTGGCAGGGAGAATAAGGGAGCCTTATGCCAGGCAGGCTCTGGAGCTGAGAGTTTAGGCCTGGGAACTGAGTCAAAGCTGGGACCACTAGGAAGGATGGAGACCACCAGAGTGGCAGAAGAGATCAGAGCTCAGGCTTGGGGTTCTAGAATCTGGCTCACTCTAGCAGCTACAATGACATGCTGTAAATCCCCAGCGTGTGTACACACACACACACACACACACACACACACACACACACCCTGCCACTGTGTGCCCGGGGGGTCATCAGTCTCCCTGCTATTCCTTAATGCCACCACATTTCATCCCCACAGCTTACATTTGCTCATGCTGCTGCCGCCAAGAATGTTCTCGCTATTCTTCTGGTCCACCCAAAACCCTCCATCCTTTACAACTCAGCCCAGTGCCCTTCACCCATCCAGACAGCCTCCGGTGGCTCCAGGGCCCCTCAGGGGTGCCTCCTCCCTTGCCCTCCGTCAGCATGCAGCCAGCAGCACGTGGGTTAGAAACTCTCCCTCCTCTGAAGTGTGTGATGCTAGAAGCTCCCCCAGGCCAACGGAGGTTTCTGCTACCTTTTGCTGCCCTCACAATGTCTAGCAGAGTGCCAGGCACAGTGCTGGCACCAAGGTCTGGCTCCCAAGGAAAGCTTGGCCTTCACAGGCCACCAGAAATGCCCCCAGCCCACCCCCCAGGGAAGGAAGCCCCAGGCCTGGCCCCAGAAGAGCCGGCGGCAGGGGGGGGGCGGGGGGGGCGCGGCTGGGGTGTCAGATAAACAAGCATGGTAATCTCCCCAGGTCCTCGAGGCTCCCACACTGCTAGAGAGGTTCCTCTTTTCTCAGACTGGGAGGTGGGGCAGCCTCCAGCTCAGAAAGGCAGCACAGCCCCAAGCCACCCCTGCCCATTTCTGGGGTCGCCCTTGAACCTGCTAACTGGGGAAGCTTAGAGAAGGCCAAAGTGGAAATGGCAGGAGAGAAGGCAAGCCCAGCCTGGGGCCAGAGGCTTCTTCCCTTCACCGGGGTGCCCAGACGATGGTCCCACCAAGAATGCCAAGGCCCCGTCCTTGCGCATTTAAACTCGGGCTCACACTGGCTTGGGCTGGGGCCTGCGGGTGCACGGCCATCGTGCAGACATGAGAGGAAACCTTCCACAAAACACAGTGGGCCCAGGTTGGTGCCTTTCCTCCCCACCCTCCTCCACTCCCGGGAGGCACCAGAGTGCAGTGCCGAGGAGCCAGAGACGCGGGCCACCCCTCCTCGGCTGTGTGACCATCAGCAAAGCTACTTAGCCATTCTAAGTCTTAGTTTTCTCATCTTGTTACTGTGTGCAGTAATAAACAGGGGAGGTCGGTCTAACGAGTTTCCGTGAGGAGTACCGGAGGGAGGTGGGACAGCTTCTTGTCCCACCGGCCCTCCCAGCCCCCGACAGGGACACCCCTAGGGCTCCGGAAACAGCCCATCTCAGGGATCTTTTGCCACTTGAGTCTAGGCCAACATACAGCATCGCTCCTGCCCTGAAGAACCCGGTGGCCAGGTGGGGAGGAGAATCCATGATGAGCCCTTAGAAAGACCTAGTTCAAGAGGGTTGAGCTGAAGCGTCAGAGGCTGGGTGACTGCAGGCTCCGGGAAGGCAGGCATCTGAGCAGGGCCAAGGGGGTGTGGGCTGGCCTGGGTGGAGCAGAGGAAGGCCCGTGGGCGGGGGATGGTAGGCCAGACCTTCAGGCTGTGGATTCTGGCCGCTGTCCTCAGCTGCCCCAAACCAGATTTCACAAGTCCTAGTTTCTGCTCTGTGGCTCCAGGTTCAGAAAGAAAGCCCCCCATTCTGGGGAAAGCCAAGAGGATATAGCATCCCGCCCTCTGGTCCTAGCAATTTGACTCCAGATAGCTGGCCCAGCTGGGCCCTACCCCGCCCTGGGTGGGGAGCTATGGGAGGTTCCCCAAAAGAGGTGCCTATGGAACCTAGGAGGAGCTCCACTGGGCCCTCATATCAGAGACGAGTGTGTGGGTGGTGACTTAAAATGACCCCAGCGTGAACCTACAGCCCCAGCCCCTGCGAGAACAGATCTGCTGCCTGAACGGGAGGCACAGGGTGGGGGCCCACATGCCGGGAGACAGGGCCACAGCTCAGAGGGGCCCTGCCAAGACCACCTGGATGAGCAGGCAACCCGCCATCCGGCCAAGGGGAAGTCCCTGCCACCTCCAAGGTCCCTGCTCCTCTCCGTAAGGGGTGCCAGACTGTGGACCTGCCCGAGTGGCTGCAGCCAGTGAGCGGCTGAGCAAGGAGCATCTCAGGGCAGGTCCCCCTCACACCAGAGTCTGGGCCTCACCCCGACATCACCCAGCGGCCAGACAGCTCCCCATTCCCTTTCTGAAAAGTCCCAGAGCCTCCTTCCGCCAGCTTCCACTCACTGGGTCCTGCTCTGCCCTGGAATCTCCCAGGCCTTTCAAAGGCCTTCAAAGAGAGGCAGACCCTACTTTGCCCAAGGGTTTTAACCCCGTTGGATTACCCTGGGGCCTCCTCTGTAAATTTCACCATTAGAGAGACATGCCTCTGGGGACTGTGAAAGCCTTCTGGGCTCCCAGGGTCCTGTGAAAATGCAAACACATCTACCAGAGGGGGTCTTCTGGGAGATGACACAGTTAGCAATTTCAGGGAAGGGGAGGGGTGAGCACCAGGGGAGCAGGACGATGCGGAGCACCCGCCTGGCACAAGGCTCTTTTCTGCTTTGGGCTACAGTGTCCAAGGGGATTTGAGCAAAGACTTTCAGCAGCTTCAACTGGGCAAGAATGCCTGGTCTGGCCCAGGAAAAACCTGGAGCCCAGGTTGGGGACTGTGGTAGGAGACAGGATGCGTGGAGACAGTGGGTGAGTCGGGGGTGGGGTGAGGAGGTGGGGCAGGCCCTTCAGGAACTCAGCTTCCTCCTCCTCTTCTAGCTTCCAAATGAAGCCAGGAAGAAGCACCGGGCTCAGGAGGGCTGGCACTCAGGGACCCACGTTCAAGCCCCAGCACGACCATTTACCAGGTGAGTGACTCTGGCAAATTCTAGGTCTCGGAGTCTTAGTTTCCCTCCTGGGCTGAAAGTAAAGTCTGACAGCGTTTTAAGATATGAGCGGCCATCCCAGCGCCTGGCCCAGATGCTCAATAATGACTTCCTTCTTACTCCTCTGAACTTCCGCTTCCTGAGCAGGGTCTTTCTGTCCTCACAGAGGACTGTCAAAAGGTTAAAATTAGCCTACGGATGTAAAAGGCCCCAGAAGCAGCAAGTAGCACACTCTGATTCAAATACCGTCACCAGCCCCAGGCATCATGGCCATTCGGCTGTGGGCTGTTGCCTGGGCAGCCACCACCCGCCAGTGCCGTCATCCACCCCCTGGGCAATCCCCAGGGATGATGATAGCCACTCACCCCATCTGGGAGAAGCTGTACAGGGTCTGCCACAGCCGCAGCATTTGTCTGCAGGTCACGAGGGCTTCCTCTGGGCCTTTCAGGACCTGCTCCAGCTTCACCTTGGTGAACATCAGGCTGCGGGGCGGGACAGTGGCAGTTAGCATGAGCCTGGCTTTCCTCCCAGGTTAGGACCCCAAGGGATTCTGCCCCACCATTCTGCCAGCCCCCCTCATCCACTTGGCCTCCCGTCGTAGACCCTCCTGCCCCAGCCTCTGAAGCACTGTCAAGTGTGGCTACGAGTCTTGCTTTGTTTGTTCTTCCTTCCCACACCCACAGCATGCGCTGTCCTCAATGAATATGTAGCCATCCTTGTATTTCCACGCCCCACAGGGCCCCGATGGGCCCTGTATACCAGAGACAGACCCAGAAGGCAACTCTTAATCAAGGCAAGAAGCTAAGCAAGGAACTGGCAAAGAAATGTCCCCTAAAGGGCAGCACACAGTAAGTGCTCAATTAACATCTCCTCAATTGAACTGCAGACTGTTTCCTGACCCTGGATACATGAGGACAGTCAATTCTTTATCAAAGAATTCTTCACTGGATTTCCAAAAATAGCCAGCTCCCCTTATATGTGCAATAGGATTAAAGCGCCACCAGATCCTATCCGGTCACCATTTAGAACACAGTCACTCCGCAAAGGGAGAGAGCAACCTCACAGTCTCTTTCAACCAGAAAACTGGGAGTCCTCTGAGGTCAGGATGGTGTGGGATGTGGGGATGTGGCCCTGATGGGGGCTGGGAGGAGAGGGAAGGGGCCGGCCCCACCAGAAGGCGGGACCACAGGAGGGGGGCTGACTACTTCCTCCCTCTGCCTTGGACACAGCAGAGACCATCAGAACACTGCTCATCAGAACCAGGGTGGGGGGCCTCGGCATCCTGCCGTGCCAGGTTTTGGCCCTTCAGTTTTCGGGGAGTACTGGGGTCCCGGGGGAGGGAGGGTCAATGCAGCTGGGGACACTCAGGAAATTCAAGGCAGTGGCAGTTTACTAACGGCTATGGAAGTCCTGCATTCTTTATAGTCCTGCCAGGCGCACTGATGCACACCAGCTGCCTGGGCAGCAGTGAACTTGGCTGAGCCACTGAGGCCCAAACAAGGCTGTGACTCCGGTTCTCACTGGGTGGTGAGCAGTGAGGCCCTTTCATCCTGGCATCGCTGTTGGACAAACGCACGTGACTGCAGGCCCTGTACTTGATCGCTGCCTGGTGGTTCTGCTGGCCCATGCGAGGTTGGCACACAGGCCCTCGCAGAGGCTGAGGCCTGCATCCACACAGCGCGCATCCTGTGATCCGAGGCTGCAGGCACCGTACGGGGAGGCCAGCCTCCGACCGCGAGCTTTCCCCTCTGACCTTCTCCCTCACTCGGAGCCCCGCCCTCCAGCCTCACCTCTCCATGTTCATGCCCCCTCAAGTCTGACCTTAAATTCCACCTTCCCAGACGCTCAGGATGCCTTGTGCCCTTCTTAAAACATCTCCTAATGAATCGCCCAGCTGGCCTACAAAGTCCCAAGGGTAGAAAGCATGGTCCTCACAGCGTGGAATGCATGGGCCTGGGCAGGAACGTGGTCTCTGCGTCTTGGTGGGCGGCTGCTGGGGACAACGGGCCCTGCCATCCCTACTCCCCCCTCCTGGATTCTCGAAGGGTCCCAACACCCTGTAAGTATTAGGAGCCTCTGCTTTAGGAATCTGGAGTAGAAGACACAATTTCAGCCTTCAGGGTAACCACTGGTGCTAAAAATGACAAAAGTGCCCAGATAATCAGGTGCTGATCATCAGGTGGTAATCAGGTGGATCAGATTCAGTGCAGGGAAGGTAGAGATAAGGGATCTTGCTGCGGCTGGTGTGTGATGAAAAGGAGGGTGGGGTGGAGCAGGGTTGGGAGTTGGGGGAGAGAGGTGAAGAGTTGGGAAGTGGGGGGAACCAGACGCTGGAGCAGCTGCTGATGAGTGAAAACCCCTTCCTGCAGACATGGGGAACATCCAGGCTCAACTCAAGTCAAGAACATCTAGGCAGGGCCACTCAGGGCTGGGCTAGGCTGCTTCCCGGGACAGTTCCCCGGGCAGCCCAGCCCGGAAGCACCCCCCTGGCACCCCATCTCCCCCGACATGCCTCCTCTTCAGCTCCTCTCTGCTAGGCCCCTTCCCCCTCCTGCTCCCGGCATCCCAGAGAGCCAGCACAAGCGGCAGACCCGACCACACCATGCGCCTAGAACAGAAGTGGCTGCAAGCTGAGCTGGCAGACAGTGACTTCTACCAACACAGGCTGTTATCCTCGCGGCTGCTGACATTCCATTAGCGTGAGTGACCCGGCATGGAATTTCTCAACCAAACCACATCCCTTCTGGGCTGGGGCAAGCGCTCCAACAGGCAGTCACTGTCTGGTCGCATCCTGGATCTGGGAGGCTCCAGATTAGCTCCTGAGATTTCCTTAGTCTCACAGCTGAGCACGCCCAAGAGGGATCTTCCTCAATAAAGAAACCTGCCCGGACTGTCCATGACATCAATCCAAATGCTTTTGTGCAGCGACCTTTTCCATTCCTGCCACTCCTCCCCATGCCCTTGGGTGCCCGGGTGCTGCTCATATGGGTATTAGCAGCAACCTGAACTGGGGGACAGGCTCCCGGACTCATCTGTGCCCTGCTGCACATCATCGCCCTTGCTGGGGACACACCCTTCCCCTCCAGCTTCCAGCCAGCTCCTAAGCAGAGGTCACCCTCGGACTTTCTGTATGTCCCCATGGGGGCTGTACACACACCCCTCCAGGATACTCTTCACTATGTCGGACTTGGTCATCTGCACACCTGCTGGCATGCCTCTAATTCACCACTGGGCTCCCTCCCCTCCCCTCCTCTGTTGCAGTACAGGGCTCCCTCTCTACCCTGTGTACCGGGACGCACGGGGGGCCTGGTTCTTCCTACAACAGTACGAGAAGGCTGGCTGAGCGCTGGTGGGCCACTGTGGCTGGTGGGCGACACTTCCCAGCTCACGCAACACGCCAGAGCCTCACCGAACACGGTGCTTCCAGGCAGGGCTTTGGGGAAGCTGCTGGCCATGGGGGCTGGGGGATGCAGGGGGCGAGCCTGGGCTCCCCACCCCTTCAACCAGCCCAGCCCCTGGCAGGCCTGTTTCGTATACCGAATGAATCTAAAACATCATTTGAAGAAAAGATTCCGAGACTTTAAAAAAACCTACTGTCTTAATTCAGTGGTTCTAGTCCTCCTCAGAGAAGCCCCAGCATGATCACCCCTGCCCTTCTCTGAATAGTCGGGGGTCTTTGCTTGGCACTTAATTACATAATCTATATCTCTAGATATTATCTATTTATGTACATTATCATTATCGATATACTCATCTTTTTGCCACATAGGCTTATGAGTTTAATCACGAAGATACATTCCTATCGAGCATTTTTAAATTCAGATAATCTAGAAACAGTCTGTGGCCAGTCCTGCCTACAGATGGGAAAACCACCATCTATCCTGTGTCCTGTGTCCCGCCGTGCACCCCACCTGGATGGCAGGGACTCGTCGGCCAGGGCCCTGCTTCCCGCCACGTCAGGGTCCTCCCCGCCTCTCCAGGGCCCGGCACAGAGCTGAGCACACAGTGTCTGCTTAATTTTGTGAAGATATGTGTTGGTACAACCATCTGGCCACATTCGGGGTCTCGCAATCCGTTTTAAATCTGATTTCTGACACCACCACTTCCCACTGCTGGGTCCTGCTCAGGAAGGAGGGGAGGAATCTGTTTGCTCGATGCCTCATCACTGCAGAGCGGGTTATGGTGCCTCACAATGAGCAAAGTGCTGGCCAAGTCCATTTTTAGCTGTCTGGAAGCCAAGTTTTACAGGGCCTGGGGAGGAGCAGGGGGAGTTCTGGGCAGGACGTGAAGGCGTCTGGCTCCTTAGGACTCGGGGTCTTCACTGAGGAGGACAGTCACCCGGGCAGAGCCAAAAGCACAACCAAGGAGTGTCCCTGAGACCGGAAGGCCCGGGATATGGGCCGCTATGGGCCCTCTCACGCCCTGACGAGAGCCATTCTGGGAGAGGGATGGCCACACTGCTGACCCTGCACGGTGATGTCGTTCAGAGTGGATGCACACTGGCCCAGGAGTGAGAAACCCGAGCCAGAGTCCCAGCTCCACTGTCACCCAGCAGGGCATGTCACAGGTTCCAGTGAAATCGGAGTGACGTCTCCCACCAGATGAACTGCAATGACCTAAACGCAGCCGCTGAGAAACGCACAGCTGCACTCAGTCCTCAAGCACAGGCCGGCCCTGAGGCTGGGGGAAGGGACTCCTGCTCCCAAACTGCAGGCCTAGCAGACCCGGCAAAGCGATTTCTAGGCCTCGTGCCTTGGAAGGCTCTCAGAAAGCCCCCGACCTCTGGGGCCTGTTTGGCAAGGCAGGCGGTACTCCTCGTGGCTCCTGGGACTGAAGAAGGGTGCGGTGGAAGGGGGTGGTTGCAGGCCCAGCCTACTAGGTCCAGGTGAAGTGGCCGTGGCCGTAATCCCCTCTTGCGGGCACTTTCCTGTTTGTTAAGCTGTGGAGGCCCGTGTGGAATAAACACCGAGGTCTTACAGGACTGAGGGCCCTTCCCACGCCTTGCATCCGAAGGCAGATGTGAAAGTGAGTGTTCTCTCTGCGGAGGAGGAAGGAGCAAGAGTCCATGTAAACACACCATGTGCTCTGTCCCCCCCCAGGGGGGAGGCTGCTAGGGCTACCGAAGGAGTCCTGGGTCCTGGATTCCACGGTCCCGCCCAATCGAAGTGGCATGTGTGCCCTGGTCCTCGTAGGGAGGCCCAGTGAGACCACAAGGCCACTCTCCAGGAGCTCACGCCCTCCCTAAGAATGCCACCAGAGCCTGCTTGGTCCACTCTGGCCACCTCATGCCCAGGCTCGGGGCTCCCTCTGCCACCATCCCCACCACACACTCATCCACCGCCGTGCTCTGGTCAAGGCGGAGACCTGCCACCTCCCATGTCACCTGCACGGTCCAGCACGCTGGGGGCACAGGCAGGCACTCAGCCCACCTGAATAGGACCAGCCCCTGCTAGACCATGAGGCACCTCAGCCTTGAGGGGTC